AATTTCATGAGCAGACCATCAGTTGAATTCAACCAATTTTACTCTAATTCCTCTCACTGACTGGATGTCTCTCTCTCTTTCTATAAAAGAATTTGACAGTGTCCAGAAAAACATGCTGTGAACATTGGTTTTTGTCAACAGATCGGGTTATGAATTTGCACACTTTCTATGGAAAAAGCTTTCACAGGCTTGACTTTATCAGGAAAAAATTTCTTGACGATTCCCATATACGCAGAACTGTTTTTAGGTTCTTCAATTATTTAGAGATGGATGATGACACTTGAAGTTTCTGTACAATGCTGTCTTTCAGCACCGTACTTGATGTCACTGGAAGCTGGACATCACCCATGCCCGAGTCACTTGGACAGGTTCTGAATCATTCTTGGAAATAAAAAATGTGTATGTGTATTGTGTTGAAAAAGCAGGTTGCGTGATAAATCTTGTCAATTTTTAAAGGCTTTTTCTGAAATTGATAAGAGATTTAAACCTTATGTTGAGAAGGCGAAATGAATTGCATCAGTTTCCTGTGAAGTCGATTTGATCATAATTTGTTGAAAAGGCACAACTGCGATTTTAGACACAACGGTTTTAGCCAAGGTGATAAACTGTTACAGGCTTCCATTTCAGTGAACAAGTAGCTTCTGATTGGGAAAACATCGCAAAAGTTTATTTTGTGTTATTCATCCACTGTATGAGCGTTTAGTTTCAGCTCTCCTAAGGCAATTTAAAACTTTCACAGGTGACAAGGCACTCTAAATTTTTTTCTTTTTTGTTCAAAACAGAAACCTGTCTAGGGTCATCAACCTTCTTACATGAGAACTCAAGAATGATTAAATTTTTTAAATTGTAATTTAATCACTGATCCGGGATTACATGCAGGTTCATGTATGTGATGTCAGGTGACTTCACATACATGTACAGTGAAGCATAGATTTTAATTCTAAAACCAGCACAATGTGCCATATTTGATTTCTTATACGTGTTTCCACATATGTGTAATGAAATGGCATTTTTGTAGGTGTCAATGGCTGTTGGCTTTGTTTTGTTCTCTGCATGCTTTTTTTCCTCATAATTTCTACGGATGCCTAAACAACCTGCATCTTGACAAGTACCATATGGTCACTATGATCAAAGTACCCATTTATTATTCCTATAGTGCACATTAGGTCATAAAATTAATTGTTTGGGTACGATCTGAAGCTTCCTTTGAAAGCACGTTTGAGAAGTGCAGAGCAGTAATGATGATTCAGTTGAGATTGTAGGGAGTGCTCGCTGTAATGTTAGATTCTAATTCCGTGCCCACAGGAATTTTCTGCTTTTTACAATCTTCAACCGTCCATCCCATCTATCCATGCTCACAACCGTTTGTGGGTCCTAATCCAGTGTTATTTTCCATGACTATATGTAAGTTAATCCTATGTCAATCAGCCCTTAACTTTTTTTTGGGTCCCCAGATTTTTTTTCCTAGAGTGCAGTGCTGGACATCTTCACGGTGTGAAGAGCTTCGGCTGCCAGCAGTCAAATTGTCCATTCGGAAGTCAGAGCCCAGGGCTGCCAGTACCCTGTGGCGGGCATTAACCTTACCTGAAGTGCTCTCCCTTCCTTAAAGGAAAAGAAAGTGAAGTTATTTGTGTTTTTTTTTTCCTTTTCCACTTGGAATTTAGCTTCTTCCTGTGGAGAGAGAGAATGCGTGCTTTGCGGTAGTGATGATCTTAAAGGATCCAGGAAATGAATTTTTCTTAGAATCACTTTTTGTGTATCTCTGTACTCTTCTTCCATGTATGAAGACTGTTGGACATCTTTTTTGAGTTACGTGAACTGAACAGTGCACTTTTTGAAACATTAAAAATTGACCAAGCATTTCTGGACAAGAGAGGGTGCTTTTGCTTTGATGTAAATTCAGGAAGACATGGTTTAGGTTGCATGTTTTCATGTTCAAATTGTGAACCCCAAATGTACTATCTGGGAACATTTCTGTGAATAGGGACTTTTGCTGGATTATTGCCATATACTTAAACAGTAATAAATTGCCAAAGAAAATAAAATCTGCCATAGCAGTGGTTAAAGAAATCTAGAACTTTCTGTGCTCAAATCAGTGCAACATTGAGATTCAGTGCCTTGGTTGACATCATAGTTCTGCTCATGAATATGCACATATGCATTAGCATAAAACCAAAAAAGCATCAAAATGTTGGTTAAAATTGCAAACCAAAAATTTAAAATAACGTTAAGTGAAACCCAAATATGCAATTTCAAGGGTTTTTAGTAAAATTTATAAAAACTATTTCTATTTTCTATTTTCCTTTAAGCCATGTTTGCATTGGATTTTCTCTTCTGCAGGCACATGAAAACTTTCCGCGACATTCCTTCACGTCAATCTACCGCACATTCCCACGTGGATCGTGTTATTAACACCAGTTGATTACATTGCCTGCACTGTACAAATCATGATGAAATCGGCAAAATCTGACAAAAAAAAGGACAAAATCAGACAAATTTGGCCAAAGCTGCCACAAATAAGATGTACCTGTACACAAAGTGTGTTGAGCTTTAGCCTGGCACGCCGTACTGTGTGTGCGTAGTATGCTGCTGTACTGTTTGCACGGAGACTGGGAACAATCATTTTCGTGTGCCCACTATCAATCTCTGTGTAGCAGCAGTCTGGTTTGTAGGTTTAGCATGGTCGCGGTCGATCTACATTGTACAGGAACTGTTCCCGTCGGACTTTTTTTGCGCCCCTGTTAACTTACATGTGCATGTACCATGGCTGCGTGGAAATCTTCCAGGACCCTTTTTGGCCAGTTAGTGTTTCACATCACAATCGCAGTACTTGTAAGTCAACAGGGACGTTGGTATACTGTGTGTTCCCATTGGATTTAATTTTGTAATTCTGCAGGAAAGTCGCAGTAAGTTAACCAAAAAAAGTGCTAGGGGAACATTGCTTTTATTAGAAAGTGGCATTTTGAATACATGAATGTACATGAAGAGTGCATTATTCTGATAATATTACTTTCTTATGTTGTTAAACGACATTCAAGTTTGGCCCCATAAATAATTCTTGTGTCAGACTGATCAATTTTACCATTCTGCCATCAAAAAGGAGACTTATTCAAGCACGTTCCTTGAGCATTTGAATCATGAAGAATGAACAATAACTCAACATTTCTTAGCTTACATGTGCATGTGTGCATAAGTTTCAAGCATGAATGAAATATTCTATGGTCTGCAATATGGGCTTTGTTAACTGCAGAGGGCACTTTGTTGCCTACATTTAGCAGCGACGTCCCTCGGGGCAGTCTCTTCTCAGACAGGCACTTGTTTTGAGTAATTCGAGCAAGAAGTGTACACGTCTAGTGCACACCTGAAGATGCGCAAACCCTCCAGGCTCTTTGCGTGGGTGTGGCACGGGGTGACAGTGGGAAGGGGGTCAAGGGTCGCCCCTCCTTGTCCGTTTGCCACTAGTGAGGGGGCGCTTGCACTCGGAATCCATAAGCAAAGAATGGTAATAAGTGGTGAGCTCAAGTTTCACATGCCTTGTTGTGATTTTTCTTTTCCGTATTCTTGTTGAGCCGCCGATAGCTTGCATGCACTAATGGAATATAAGTATATGTATGGTGCTGTTGGTGATTAGTTTATTATTCTTATTAAGTTTTTATGACTCTGTAGTTCCAAGTACGTCTTTGACAGAGATATTGAAATTCAGATGAAATTTTATCGGCATCAAGTCTAATGATTGCATTTTGAGTGTTGGAGAGTGTTTTTACCCGTCTTAATTCCCGCAAGTAATATACATGCAACTCTTCCCATGAGCCAGTGTTAATTTGAAACAGTGATAATTATTGAGAAAAGTGATGTTATTAGCCATTTGATCCCTGGAGTATGTGTTAACAACGTCTGACAATGTGAAAGTGTTTTGAGGGTTGACTGACCGGTTCAAACTGTTGAGCTTACACCGTGTCTCTAACGGTGGACTTGTCGATAAGTACTGTTTAAAACTCATCTTTTCAAACAATACTTCTCTTAATTAGTGGTTCTAATTTTGTTGCAGCCTTTTGATCTCTTGTTTTCTTTTACTTTGATACTTTTAAGTCATTTATAAAATGTTGTTGTTGTTGTAATTGTACAATGCTTTGAGATGTCTGTGACATGGAAAAGGTTCTTAAATATCTATTATTATTTCTACAAATGTTGTGCTTCCAGAGTTCCCACTTATTTAGCACATACACACACCGCATCCAGCAAGTCCGTAGATGCAGACTGTGTTTAATACATGTACATTACTTGGCCAGCTGTACGCATTGTCATAGCACTTATTACTTTCACAGCAGAGCCTGAGAGAGTTGCAATATTATGGTTGTAATTTGCCTTGAAATTTTGTACGAACTGACTCTCAAGAGCCTGTCTTTGTGGCAGATGCATTTGGCTGCATTTTAAAAGTTGGCCGATACATCTGTGCTTTCCCGTGAAGGATTGATTTGGGCCAAAAATTGTACTGTCTGTTAGTGATAAAGAAGTACAGGTTTTTTGTTAGAGAAAAAATACTTCTGGGCGAATAGATGAAAGTCAGTGTATTTAGTCGGTTGAAGTTGTGCAAGACACCAAACTGAACGTTAACATACAGAACACTTGTTATATTGTTAAGATAAGCTGATTCTTTGTTGAGTCTGTTTTACTTGGGAAGCATGACATGTTTGTCCGGGGGGTTGGGGTCTCAGACCAGTAAGTTCCAATTCTTTCTCAATTGATGTCTATATGTCATTACATGTATGCTGTTATTTCTTTACATCTACTTAGAATGAATATTTGCATTGTTCACATTACTTATAGAGTTACAGATGCCATTCAGTATCGCACTGTGGCAAATGCAGTTGAATTTTTGCAGGAACAGCAAAACTGTTTTTAGATCCGTCCAGCAACTTACCAATGCATAGAAACTTGCCAATGCACAGTGTCTCTCATGGTGTTTCCTGTTAACCACGTGTCATATTTGTATCTTGCAGTTGTTCAAGAATGTGGCAGAGAGGGGCAAATGGTCTGAGATGTTGATGGAGGCCCACGACTCATACAAGAATCACGACGTCCACTCAGCACTCATGCAGTACTCGTTTGCAGCCGAGCTAGGGTACGAGGTCGCTCAGAGCAACGTGGCATTCATCCTGGACCAAGGTGAGTACAAAATGGCACAGAGTCTTGTTTTGGTTTTTACTTCAGGTCTGACTTGAGGAAATTGGGACTTCACAATAAAGCAAGCTGTATTGGATATTGGATGACCACTATTAATGTATTTTCCCAGGCATGTATGCATGAACACCCAGTATTGTTCCACTGTGTAACACAGGACAAGGCATTGTGTTTCCTACTGTTCAATCTGCCCTGTGCTTGAGCAAGAGATGGCTTGCTTCGCGTGGTGTATGCACAGGTTTATGTACATTTGGTGTGGGAGCACTGAGCATTTGCAATTAATTTGCACTGGCATATATGGCCTCCTCCTGTGTGCTGGGCCACCTATATGAAATGCTTCCCACCAACCTGTTTCCTCCTAGCCTGTCATGGGGGCAAGTTTTTGGGGCTGATAATATAACACTCTCCTATAGACTAAGCACAGTCACATAATCCCAGAGAACTGAATTAAACAAAGGGCTGGCCACTGAGGACAGGAGAAATCCTTCATGGTCTTTCCTCTGTGATAAAGTAGAACTTGTACAAGTGAGAAGTCTGTCAGCCTCCAGGGGTGTTATTTCATTTCTAGAAAAGAGCTACTGTCAAGCAAAATTGGCTAGAATTGGTGTGAGGACGTAATCCTCCTATTTGCACCTGTACTTCTAGCTGGTCCTTGACCGGATTTCTGCTAAGTACGATTGTCATTTGAGAAGTGTTCCTACTTAGCAACTCTATATCAAGTTGTGATACCATCAGACTGAGCCTGATTCCAGACACCTGATGTTCCCTCCCCCCACTAAGTCATAAAGACATGGAACAGAGAATACCCTCAGTGTCTTTCAGGATTCCTTGACTGTAGTCCTGGTCGGATGCATGTATTAATATGCGTGATGTCGTACAACACGTTCCATGCCTCTGAGTTTCCAGTGATTGAGAATGTGGATCTGGGTGCCCAGCAGGCTAATTAGCCTCATAAACATGCAGATCTGGGTGCCCAGCAGGCTAATTAGCCTCATTAACATGCAGATCTGGGTGGCCAGCAGGCTAATTAGCCTCATAAACATGCAGATCTGGGTGCCCAGCAGGCTAATTAGCCTCATAAACATGCAGATCTGGGTGCCCAGCAGGCTAATTAGCCTCATTAACATGCAGATCTGGGTGCCCAGCAGGCTAATTAGCCTCATTAACATGCAGATCTGGGTGCCCAGCAGGCTAAGTAGCCTCATTAACATGCAGATCTGGGTGCCCAGCAGGCTAATTAGCCTCATTAACATGCGGATCTGGGTGCCCAGCAGGCTAATTAGCCTCATTAACATGCGGATCTGGGTGCCCAGCAGACTAATTAGCCTCATTAACATGCAGATCTGGGTGCCCAGCAGGCTAATTAGCCTCATTAACATGCAGATCTGGGTGCCCAGCAGGCTAATTAGCCTCATTAACATGTGGATCTGGGTGCCCAGCAGGCTAATTAGCCTCATTAACATGCAGATCTGTTTAAAACATGAAAATTTCTGCCAACCTGACATACATGTCACAGAAGAGGTCCATATAATGCAGGTTGTGCGAACCCTGTGTGGACTAAGCCAGGTCCACACAAGTTTACTCCCATTCTGGAAAACAGATTTAGAGGCAATTCCCAGGTAGGGTTTATCTGCAGCAAAAGGAAAGGGAACAGTTAGGGAAACGGTCATCCGAAGTCCAGTTTAAAATAGCGTTCAAGGTACAAGAAGAGGAAGCAGTTTTGGCAAAGTATACCGGAAGAAAGGAATGTCCACACTAAATAGGTAACGTAAACATGTGCATGTGTTTGTGCCTGAACGGATTATTTAAACTGAGTTTTTAATTCAATTTGACCTGCATATCAGAGGTCAAAACGACAGCCACCCACTGGTCCTTTGCTGAGTTAATACCCGAGTCAGATGTTGACTAAGAATAAGCCTTTTACAAGTTAAATTGGAATAAATTCTGATACACTGAGTTATCTGATTGCACATAAACATAACAATTGGAATTCCCCAGACTAAAGACACTGTTGCCATACCTTCCTGTGTTCCTGTGTGCCCTTCTTATCCATGGAGAACAGTGTATTGGTGCAAGGCGTCTCTTAATGTAATTAAGCAAAAAAGCTTGCCCTGAATCACGAGGTATAGCAACATTGTCTTTAGTATGGAGAAATCAAATTGTTACGTTCACATGAATTAAGGAACTGATTTTGCCATATTCAAATTTAACTCACAAAAGGCTTATTCGGGCAAGATATAGACTGTCAGACTTCATGCATTGTGGGCTTATTGCCTTTTCTAAAATGCTTCAGGTTCCAAGCCTACATTGTTTCTTGCAAACTTTTTATTCACTGGCATCAGGTTCTGGTTCTACATTGTGCTTGTCTTAGGCTGTGTACATGTAGAAAGAATTAGGATACCCAGAGCTAAACACCACAGGTAATGTAAGTGTGAAGTCAAAGCTGATAAGAAGGAGCTTGCTGTAGCCTCATAACTTAAGCCTCATCCAGAAGTTACACAAGATGTGTGTGGAGCCCCAACCAAGCCGAGAGCAAACAGTCATTCTGTTACTGTTTGGCTGTGTCTGTTTTTTTGTGGGGGGGGGTTTATTTGTCCCTTTTGTTTTCTGTGAGACTAACTCGATTTGGGCTTGCTCTGAAATCTTCCCTCCTCGACTCATGATAACTTAGCTTGTTCATATTAACACACCTGCAGGCATGTGTTTACTGCAGACTGGCCAAGCTGCGATTTTGATGTGGGTTTGTGGTATCAAGGGATCCTCAGTGCGCAAACCCTGGTAGCATAACCTGTTTGCCCGGTATTTATTCTGGAGCAGAGGGGAGAAAACAGGCTGCCGCTGTGAAAAAAACACAACAGGAAAGCTTCTCAGACGTTTTGTGTTGACAAACGTTTTCAATGTTTTGATTTAATTTCGATCTGGTTAAAGGCACGAGGTCTTGGCCAGGCCGAACTCAATTTGCTATTTTCTTTTCACACACATTAACATTTACTTTCTGAAGGCTAGTGGTTGTTGGGTTCTTCACAAATTTTAATCCATCAGTCACATCAAATTGCAAGTCTTGAGTCATATTAAACACTTTTGTTAAAATCAAAGAGCTAACACTCAAACACTCCCCATTGTCTGACTGCTGTCGTAGCTATATGTTTGCTTTATTTTACCTCATACGCACATTTGTATAATTATGAGAAAACTACCCTTGAAGTAAATCACAATATTTTCAGAAATGGCTAGGCTAACAACATTTATTAACTGCAGAAAATAAGAGGTTTTATCAAACAAACTGTGTTATGATGCTTTAAGGGAAAGCAACTGAACTAAAAACCCACATATATTTAAAATTTGAAACTTGAACCACAATATTACATTTGTGCGAATGATCTACTGAGGGATCGGCAAGAAGTCTTTCTCCTGACCTCCAACTGCATTAAGGTCGGAAAGCTTGCGGTAGCACCATGCAAGGGTACGATCTCTTTGTGAGTCTGTATGGTTCTGAAAAGAACCTTGAGGAACTCCAACTGCATTGTGGCACGCTTTTTTGTGTGTGAAAATTTCAACTTGCAACTTGCATGTATGTTCATGTGCCGGACAAACATCTTGATGGAAATCAAAATTTGAATGTCCTTGATGAGAGAGATCAAGATTTGAAGCTAAAAAGTACTGCGGATGAATGTTTCTACTATGGAGCTGTGCGAAACATTACGATACATGTAGATCTAAAGGAAGATTGTACCAGGATTTGAAACTAACTGGAATAGAAAAATAATGGCTGAAAATCATTGTCAGAAAATGGTGAATTCTCAGCCATGCCAGTTAAATACCTGAAGATTTTGCTTCCCTTTTCTCTTTTCACTTTTGTTATTTTTAGCTAAGGGAAGAAATCTGTTCTTTAGACAGGATATGTTTATATTTTCCTTGCCCAGCAGACTGCACTCTGGCCCTTGTTCTGCACTGTCCAAGTCATTCCTTGAGGAGTCTTATATCAACACCCCACACACTCGTACACAAACACTACCTTGTATCTCTAACACACAGTTGTCACCAACTATGAGAAGTGCAAGCTGGCGTCCACCAGCTTTATTTCATGTTTCCCACTGGAGATCTGAGTCTTGGGGTTTTTTTTAGCAAGAGAGCCTTTCTGACGATCTGTTCTTGCTTTCTGAGCTGAGTTTGAGATATGAAGATGGATTGCATTTGGCAGTCGTCTTGTCAAGCAATCAGTTAATGCTGTGCCATCCACAGTCACTGGGTGTGGCCAATCTGCCATCCAGCACTCACAAGATTGAGTTGTCAAATGGCTTGCATGCAGTCTGTTTCCCCAGCGTGGTCAGGACATACATGGATTTGATTTATGTATCACATTATACTACAAGCTAAAGAGAAAAATATTGGTCACATTGACTGACTTAGCATCTGTCAGATAGAAATTTGAATGAGCATTGACCTGCAATGAGTGACATGTGTTCATGTGAGTGGAGTGGGCATATTTCACTGCTGTTCGTATAATTTTTTGGTATGTAGTATTTACGATTTTCCTAGGGACGGGGAGTCTGAAGATTGGGAAGGGTCCTGTGTTTTTACTCATATTTCAGATGTCAGAATAAAGAGAGTTCACAGAAGACAGGTCTGTTGAGGATCTTAACTTGTCCCAGTAATTGCTCACTATCAGCGACACAGCGCAGCCAATTTCATCTTTCAGCTTTTTTCTTCAAAGCCTTCTTAATTGGTGCCCCTAAAGTGATCACCTGATTAAAGGTTTGCACCTCAGTGATTGTGGTCTTGGTGCAAATACATGTTGCATGCCAACAGTATGCAGTGGGCCAAAAGTGTAACATACACGATATTGGGTCCAATTTATTCTTTGTGACATGCCTGTAAAAGCCACCAACTTGTCATCAGACCACCACTAAGCTGTGGTGTAAAATCAAGTAACCCCCAGCTAATTTCATCTTCTTTGAGGAGGATGGCCCATTTTATATCACTCCTCAAGCAATTCTACTCCTATTTATGATGTCGCCCATCGACCGACATTCACTGAGACTAGCAGGTGTATGTGGCTTCCCGGTCCTCGCTTTTCATTATTTCCTGTCCCAGTCTTAGCTGCCTGCGAGTATGAGCAAGAAGTGGGCCTTTCTTCGAATGGCTTTTTTTTTTTTCCTTGAATGGTCGGCTCGTTTCTACCAGCAGGTGCTGAGCAGAGGTCCCTTGCGGAACGTTACCTCCTTCCGGGCAAATGTGCCCCTCTGTTTATTCTTCTTTGGTCTGCGGTCGGCTTTTTAGCCCAGCGCTGCCCAGAAATGAGGTTCGATTGTTTCAGTTTGATGAACCTTCATGTCCGCCTGAGGGAACTTGGCCAGTGCGGTTTTGTTTGTGGTCAAGATCGAGCGGGCAGATAAATTTGCATGCAGTTACAGGTAGTGCCTCTGGGCAATTCCATTCAAAAGTGAGCTTTTCCAAAAATGACTGAAAATACATGTACAGTACCGGTACGTGTACACAGAAATGGTGATGGTACTACATGTAGCTATTATTGCAACTTTCAATTTTTTGTCAACTAACAACAAATGAAAATGAGGTGAGTAAATGAGTAACAACGTGACCCATTTCTACTTGGAATTGCCTTGTTGTCTGAACTTGTGTAGACTGTTTGAACGTGTGGTGCCTTGTCACATTTCTAAAAGCACACCCCAATTACCTTGGTAACAGCAGGATACCAGTTGAAATTTCAGATGAAGCATATTGGTGTTAAATGATTCTATGCTGAATTTAGTTTTATAGAGTTACACATCTTTTTATCCCATCTACATACTGTAATTTTCAGAGTATAAGCCTCGAGGTGTTTTAACCACAGCATGCAAAAATTGGCAAATTGAGATTTGGAGTCAGTGTTATCATGGAGAAATAATTTCTCCATGGTGTTATAAGCCACACCGCAGCGCTGATGATCCAACCACAAAGGTCATCGTGCTGTGTGCTGAAGCGCCGGTACAGCATGTACAATACAGATCAATGGTTCTTGGAAGGAGGAATCAGTCGTAACCTTTAACATATATACTGGGTAAAAGTGCACTGAATGACAGCTATCTTCTGCTAGATTACCAACGGAAATAACAACAGAATCAGAATCTGGCAGCCTGACAGTGCTTGGATACATTTTTGTCAGTTCTGGGGGATGCATGTGCCCAAAATGTAAAGCCCATCAATTGACATTTGGAGTGGAAATTAGAAAGCATGTTCATTGCAGTTCATGAAACTTCAGAAACGTGCCTCTTGTGTCAGGTTCACCTGCGATGTCCAGTGGCAATCTCTCTGTATTCCATCTCGCCACTTGCACAAAACCACCAACAGGAGGATTTAAAGATGGACATGTGTGCTCGTGTGCAAACTTTGCCCAAGGCATTTGACTTCATTTCTTGATCACTTACGGTATTCCAGCAAGCAGTTTTGAAGTTAGAGTTTAAAGGAACACCTGAGATTATTTTCTCTATTTTTTGGCTGATAGCATCCAGTGTGGCTTTTCTTTTTTAAAAGTTGCATCTCAGACTCTATGTCCTTATATAGTCCTCCTCCACACTGGTAGTTCATAATCCTCTAAGGATTAAGCATGCAATGGCTTAATTTTGAATCAGCTTAACAATTCATTTCCAATTAAAAAAGTAATTAATAATAAATAATAATAAACACTTGTTAAGCACCATCTGTCTAATAAACTATTCCGATTCTCTGTATTATTACTATCCCCGCACATTGAGCTCACAACATCCGAACATTCCTGAAACCATCTCAGCTCCCTGGGGAGTATACCAGCCCAACGCTGCCATTTCAGTGCAAACATCAAAACTTCACTGTGTCTGCCATCGCAGGTACCAGTTTCCTCCTGGGTGGAGAGAGGCACATAATTTAGAGGAAATACTGGAGACATACCTGTACAGTGTGAGACTCTATGTTCCATTGAGATCTATACAAAAGAAGTAATTGCCACGTCATCAGAAATAGTAGCATAGCTTCAGTGAGTTGGGGGCTCTCAAAGAGTTCAAAGAGTGGAATAGCTCAGAAAGTTGGACAACTTCAGGGCTAAGAAGTCATGGTAGGGACGTTTCACTCTTAATAAGCTGGAAGATGTGTGAATCACAGTGGGGGGGGGAGGAGGGATAGTGGCAGAAGGATTAATGTGCTCCAGTATAAAGCCGGAAGGATGATCAGGATCTGGAATGTTGTCCCCTCTTTTCTGTTACAGGCGATACCTCACTATTTGGTGTCAATGAGACGTACCAACGAGCTCTGCTTCACTGGCAGAGGGCAGCAGCACAAGGTAATTTCAAAAAACAAACAAAAAGCGAAGCAACAACAAACAGAACAAGCAGACAAAAACAGGCGATGTACGTGTCGTGATGCACCTTTAAGAAAATTTGACGGTTTCTCAAATTCAAGAGTGGTAATAGTCTTCTTAGCTGTTATAGGGATGTTGCTGTTACAAATAAGGGAATGGTGAAGAAGAGAGATGTTTATTCGGGTCCCTGGGCTAGTATGTCCCGGTATAGTACAAATTGGAAGATGGGTGGTGTTGACTGAAATCTTTTAGTACATTTCTTTTGCTGTGGGCGTGGGTATCTGCAGTGTTTGTATTGAACATAAATTGCATTGCCATTGAATACGTTGTTATGGAGTTCAATGTAACCTTTTGAGAAGTATTAAATTTCTCAAATTTGGAGAATTCAAAATATTTCAAAAATGTCTGAAATTTATACCTTGACTGGTAATTGGTTAGCTTCATTTATATAGTATTACCACCAAGAAAACAATGTTTTTTTTATACAGGCCCATCTCTGAGCCAAGTTCATCTTTCTTTGTTTTCAGGCTACACCAATGCCAGAGTGAAGCTTGGGGACTATCACTACTACGGATACGGCACCGACGTAGACTACGAAACGGCAGCCCTTCACTACAGGCTAGCCTTTGAACAGCAACGCAATGCCCAGGCCATGTTCAATCTGGGCTACATGCATGAGCAGGGACTAGGCATGAAAAGGGTAAGAAACTCCACAGTGAAGCTACCTTGAAGAGATCAAACACAGTGCCCAGACTGTGTTTTGTCAGAGCTTGAACAGGGACATAGAATGAAAGGGAGGACAAAGCTTGAATTGTTCTTAGCTTTTCAACAGCTACACAACATCCCAGCTGTGCCTAGTATGAGCATATATAGGCTACGAATGATGAAGGTACAGAGCCATATTGAAGTCAGCCTTTCGACCGCAGCACAGCACCCAGATTGTGTTTAGTCTGAGCTTCATGCATGAAAAGGAATGTAGAAAGGTGTAAACTTTTTGGACCTTCTCTCTTCGCAGAAAAACACTTACAGCAAGACCTGCAGTTGGCCAAATAAAAATGTCAGAATCAGATGTTATCAGGCAAAGGGAATTCCAAGATTGAATAAGTCTCTTCTGCCTTTCCTGAACTTTATTGCTAAATGTTGACCCCCCTTGATAAAACAGAGGATATTTCAAGATCTTTTTGGGGATGAGCCAAGGTTAATGCTATCCAAAAAATGGATTACTCCAGATCACTCTGAACATCTTTTATTATGCAGTGCCGTTTTAGTGGTTTATATAAAATTCTACTTTTCCCCCTCAGCAGTCTTGCATTGTAACAGTATTTGAACAAATACTTGACTTGTCAAATTAGAGTTTGCTTTTGACAAGTAGAGTTGGCTTGCTTGGGTAGAAGCAAGTGAACGACTGACTTCGGTAAGGGGAAAAATGGAGCACGTGGCAGGGACTGACTAAAGGTAGCTGAACTTCTTTGTTGACCCAGAGTTTCTGTTGCCATTGGTTGACATTCAGGATATTCACCTTGCCAAACGTTTCTACGACATGGCTGCTGAGACCAGTGCTGACGCCTACATTCCCGTCATGATTGCTCTGGCCAAGTTGGGCATCCTGTATGCTTGGCAGTACTTGCAGGACTTTGAGGTAAAGTGTTACGTATCGAGGCACAATCCCTCACTATTTTCTGGGCAAACAAGATTGTGTTGCTGTTGAATGACAAATAAAAAAAAAATCATGATGATGTCTGGCCAATTTGCTTTTTCTAGGTATTGCAACAAACTTTGACGTTACCTTACTTTTTTTTTGGAACAAAATTCGTGACGTATCTTGTGCACTGAGCATGTTTTTCTGAAGGAGGGGGTGGGGTTTAGTGAGAATTGGAGGCGTTGTATCCTTCTGCCTTATACAAGCACAAAAAAAAGAAGTTGCTTGTAAAATTACATGTAAAAGCAGGAAGTTGTTGGATTGGATCCTTAAGGGAACAGATTGTGAATTTTTCATGTTACAGCAATTGGAAAGTACTCAATAAACACTGCTGTACAAATGCCAGTATAGATTTTTGTTGGTTTGTCATACAATTCATGAATAACTCGTTATACCTGGTCAATTTATCGTGGGTGTGCCATTTCCCAAGGGGTGTAGCATTCAGGCATGGAAGTGTTTTTTTTTTTACAAAGTTGTACATCAAAGATAGGGGTTTGGCCTAGAATTGTAGAGTTTGTGGGTACCACTGGAGGAGCCCCACAAAGACAGAGGAAGGCATGCCAAGTGAGGGCACTTAATGCTGCCACAGAGGCTATGTAACCATGGAAACCTTCAGCTAGCTGGGACAGCCACTTTCCATAGACATCTGTATTACTCCTAACCATAGCCAGGTAATTCGTTCACATGTGTGTACGCCATGAGGGCAGGTCTTCAACCCAATTGCGCGCTAGTCATTCTCAGACACATTATTTGCAGTGGATATCGGGGCTATTCTTGGATTGTCAAAGACCCTCACTTTGTCAGATTTAGTGCTCACATTTTTGCCATTATAGGGCAGGATATGTACATAACCTGTGGACATTCAAGACTTGTTTCAGCTAGGCAAAATCGCACAAAGCTATCTGAGTGCGCAACTTAGCATAAAGGGAAATTCTTTTAGCATAAAAAAACAGCTCATCGGTAACCAACTGTGGTGCTTAACTAATGATTTCAGTCTTAATGATGACCTTACAGCCCTTTGCAATAAGGTAATTATGCAAAAAATAGGCAGTCAAGAGTAGTGTTAGCTCTGCCTTCTCGTATTCATATATACTCTTGAGCCAGGAAAGGCTAGTTGTGGTGAAGTGGCTTGCTCAAGGTCACAGCATGTTATCAGTTGGATTTAAACCCTTGACCCATTGAGCAGAAGTCTGAAACCCTAACCACTAGGCCACATGCTCCCATGATACCATGCATGTGTACATGATGCTTGTAACTCGTTCTGGACTAAGTTCAGCCCAGCTTATAACTGTGCGTGGTGACGTATGCTGTCAAG